TAGAACTATTCTTGTAGATGCTAATGAAGCTTTCTTTTTTTTTTTTTTATCAGACGTAATTTAGGTAGGACTGCACTTTGGTTTTGGTACTTGGTTGTGGCTGTCATTTTTGGGGCTTGGTTTTGTGGTAGCTGTGTATTCGAAATCTGTTCAAGACTGCTCTCTCTTATATAGTGGTTATATTTTTATTATAAATTTGTTTTCGAAGGTTGGGATAAAGTTACATAGAAGCATGGTCTGAAACTTCGTCCAAAATTTGGGTGTTGAGTGGTTAGAATTTGGATCCAACTGCTTGAAGTTGGTGACACTAACCTGTTGGGATCACAGATTGGTGATTGAAGTTCATGATGAATGGCCTGTGGAGAATGATGAAGAGCTAATGACGCGCCATAGCCGATAGATTTTCTCAGATTGGAGATGCCAATTGAGTAGCTATTGCTTGGCCAATAAACCTGGTAATTTTTTTATCCTTATCTTTATCATTTTGGTGAACTTCAGTTTTTGAATTATATTTTACTAACATTAACCTGTAAAAAGAAGAGCTGTAGGATGTGATTGTAAACTTCTATTCCTTGGTTTATGACACTTGTTAAGGCGATTTCTGTCGAAGAAAACTAAAGGATCGTCCTTGGGTCAAATGGCTATTTTTTGAAGACATTGTCAATGCGTTTTTTGTTGAGTTCTTGTTGAACTATTGCTTCTTTGATATATATTGGCAATGCTACTGTAATACTCATAACTTTTGAAAAATCTCTGAATTGGCATGTAATTTGTTGACATAGCAGCAATGTCAGTTGCTTGGATGCAGTACTTTTGCACTATTTTGGCTACTTGTATTGCAGTAATTACTATGAAAATGTAAATAGCCTTGGTTTTCCTTTATAAGGTGGTAGTAATAACTTTATTATTCCAAAAATTAGAATCTATATTGTGTAGGCAGGATGAAATGTGATTCTGCTTTTGGGTATAAAATCTCGAATAGGATACAGGGCTAATACAATATGATGTATTGACACTTAAAAGTGTCACCACTTCGAGCTTTGCGGTTCATAATATTCACAAAATTTCATGTTAACAAGTGTCAGAACAATCTGATCTAGTTACACCATGAAAGTGTCATAATATTTCATTCTACTTATACGGCAAATGTGTCATAATATCTTATTGTACTTACATAATATAAGCGTCATGATAGATCCAATATATGACATGCATCGAGTATCACTTTAGATTCATATAACCTTAGCTGTTCTCTAGCATTTCTTGTCATTTAAAAGTGTCATTAAAACGATAAATAATAACATTTATAAATGCCAATAGAACTACAAATTAGGACTCGTACAACTGTCATGAACTTATAGTGACGCTGGAATGGACGACGTTTCTATCAGAGCGTCATTATAGATCAAACGTCATTACATCGAGCTATAATGACGCTTTTAAATGTCATAAAACGACATTTTTGTAGTAGTGAGTTGACCGAGGAACGTATCAGTTGGCTTCAGAGCTGGTTGAGGTATCAAGTCGTTATATCCTCTTACTTGTTCTTGTCTAGTTCGTTTTAGGGTTCCTATTTTTCCGCTGTCTTGTTTGTTTGTTGCATCGCTAGTTGTTTCTTCGTTGTTCACAAATCTGTCCGAAGTTGTTTTGCCATTGGCGTCGTCAATTTCTGTCCGTTTTGTGTTCAATCATTGTGTTTTGCAATCGGGCCGTAGTTTGATTTTACTTATGTGTCAAATCTGTCCGAGTTTATTCCCTTGTTGCGCCGAATTTCTGTCCGTGTTTGTATATTCTGTCCGTTCTTGTGTTGGTTCGTTGTCTTGAATCTCCCCATAATTGTGTCCACAAATCTGTCCAAGTGCGTCTTCTAGTTCCGTCCATAGTGCCTTGAAATTCTGTCTTGTGTTCCATCGTTGGCTTGTCTATTGCTGTCCATAATTTCTGGTATCATTGTTTTGAGTTATCCAACTTGTTTACTTGGTTTTTCAAATATGAATTGTGGTGAAACTTGTTGGTATTTGTGAATCTTGAGAGAACCTACAAGAATCTTGAGTTTCTCGACCACAATCTTGAAATTCTTGAAGTTCTTGATAACTTCCTTGAAAGTTCTTGAAGGATCTTGAAGTTCTTGAAGATTCCTTGTGCGTGTGAATTGGCTGAACCAAATCCGGAAAATAGTCCAATCGGCCAAGCTTGTGTTGTGTTGTTCGTATAAGTCAAAAAAAAAAAAAGAAACGAAAAACAAGAAAGAAAGTCCGAAGTTTATTGCCAAAATCAATCACGGATTACATCTTGTATCCAAGACTACAAAAAGGAAAAAAAAGAATTTCAAAAGTTTCGGTCCACTACTACTTCTTGAAGTTCTTGAACCTCTTGATTCTTGGAAATTTGTTTCGTCCGTCTAGCGAACAATTTCTTGTACTCTCGAGCATTGGTGAAAGGCTTTCTTGGAGTCTTTGCTTCTATCTAGGGAATATCTTGGGTAACCCATTGGGGGGGGGGAGCCTGAGGAGGGTTGATTGCGTCACGTTGTTGAGATTCCATCTAGTTGCTATTGTCTTGAACAAACATCCGAAACTGCCTTGGGTGTGTTTGAACAGAAAATCCGAGCTTGACCTTGTGCTTGCAAGTTAAGGCTAACGTGGGTGGGTCTTTAATAGCCTACCTTCCAACCGTACAAAAGGTTTCCAACCGAATTGTTCTTTCGGGAGTTGGAAGTGACAAAGTGTGCAGTCTCATCATTGATGGTAGTAGTTGCACCAATGTAGCAAGTTTGCCCATGGTAGAGAGCTTGGGACTTCCAACGACTAGACATCCACACCCGTACCGACTACAATGGCTAAGCGAAGATGGTGAAGTACGTGTCTACAAACAGGTACGTCTTCCTTTCTCCATTGGCAACTACATTGACGAAGTTGTTTGTGATGTTGTCCCCATGCATGCTACCCATGTAATTTTAGGAAGACCCTGGCAATTTGATAAGCATGTCACTTTTGATGGTAGATCTAATAAGTACACTCTCTTGCACAATGGAACGAGAATGTGACTTAGACCGACAAAAGAGGAAACAAAAGACGGCCGAATCTGGAAATTGCTCCACTTCCACAAATGAGCATTCGGCCAAGGGTCATACACTGATTAAATCAAGCACTAGGAAGCAAAACGTGATAATCAAGGCTAAGGAAGTTAGGAAATGTGTGAATTCTGATCAGCCTGTATTACTCATGATTTGCAAACATGTACTCTTGAATGTTGATGAACTCGATAGGGCATTGCCTTCGGGAGTAGTTGCTTTGTCGCAGGTTAAGCAAGGAGAGAATGAGTTGATCATGGCATGCTCCATCCCTAACTCCATTGGTGAATATCAGAATCTTCATGAAGTTTGCCTCTTAAGTGTTGTATCCCTTTACGATCCATTGGTATTTAACTTCACCCATGAGTCTGTTTTGCTTGTTGGGAGGAGTAATGGAGTTTCAATGGGGGTTCTTGCGGTTGAATCTTGTCCTATGCCTTCTTACCCTTTTGCAACAAGTGTTCCAAGTGATGATCAGTCTAATGCAGTTGAACGTGTTCAAAGTGTTCTTCATTATATCAGTTGCATTTTGGAGGATCCAAAAAGATGTAACCGAAGCTATATGCGTTATCTTCGAGGAGTCATTGGAGTAAAGCCATGAGTTTTTCTTGGCTGGCTGTGAGCATTTTCAAACTGACCAAGAGACATGTGCACCGCATTATAATAATCATGACGTATGCAAGTATCATTCAATCTAAGAGGGCCAATATGTGGTGGCATTAGATTTGAGGTTTCGTACTCCAACTCTTGCTAGTATCATTCATTTCCATCCAGATTTGAGGACAAATCCTTCTCAAGTGGAGGGGACTGATGTGTGCACGGATGGCGGCCTTGACTCAAGGCTTCCATAGGAACATTGAAGGCTTGGAAGTTGCTAATCAAGGCATCTACACATTGATCCAAGTCAAGGAAGCATCAAGCGCGGCCTTAGCTACTTGGGCCGAGCACTAGGAATGTTAGCATTGTTAGTCGTATGAGTTGTTAGTTGGTTTTGATCATTATCGAGTCATTAGTTGTTAGTTGGTTTGTTAGTCGTGTTTTAATTAATAGTTTATTAGTTATTGGAGTCAAACAATCGGCCCACTCATGTTCAAGAGTGGATCGAGCTCCTTTTCTAGTTTAGGTTGGTGGGCCGCCAATCCTTGACCACAAAGGTTTCTAGCCTATAAAAAGGCGCCTTTTGCACCAGCAAAGGTTAGACACTTTTGATAATAAAATTTCAATTTGTTCTCTTACAATTTCGAGAGTACATTCCTACTTGCTTGGCAAGGGTTATTTGAGCAATCACGCGTGACGTCCTTGGTTGTTCATCCGGCCTATCTACTTGAGTAACCACCTCAATTGGAGTCGCCGTTCTACCGCCTTGAATCGAGTTGAGTCGTCCCTCTTGGTTCTAGGTTCCGTAATCCAAACGGTTGAGTATCCCTCTAGGTCCTTGGGCAATCGTGCTACGTGTCTCGGAACGAGTCACTACTACAAAAATGATCTTTAGTCACACACTTAATATGACATTTTCTTAAAAGTGTCACAATAGAAAGTTAATGTAACATGCAGTAGGGAACGTCATTACAGTGATAAAGAAAATGACAAGTACGACGTCGTATCACTCTAATTCGTCCAAATAGAAGTAAAAAGTGAAAAACAAACGCGGGAAAGAGAATGGCGCTACACTTCAGCGCCATTTTTTTAGGGGAAAAATTCTAACTACTCCAATGAACCCACTGAACTTTACTCTTTGTTCATCCGAGTTCTCTCTCCTAAAATCTTCAATCACATTAACTCTCTCTGAAAAAAGCCAAAATCCTTCACCCCTCTCACAACCGAATCCCTTGTTTCTTTCTCTTTCTTCTACCCGATTTTTAATCCTCCCCAATTTGAAGACAAAAATGTAATATTTGAGATCTGTCAGGCCCGAAGTGCAACGGTGGAGGACGATGTTCATTGGAAATCGCCAACAACTCTCAAGACTTGTTCTTCTACTTACAACAACATCTGAAGGAAGATTACTACCAGGTAATCTATACATTTTAGACAAAATTGATAACTTTTTTTTATTACTCTATTTCTTCTCCGGGGACGGCGTAGGACATGGGGCAGGAGCAAGATGGGTGACGGAGGGTTGCCCAGGCGGTGCCTTGCTAAAAATCATCACCCAACTCGACATTCATTTTGGGTGCTACTCTTTTTGCCCCCTGTAACTAAAATTTTAATTGGATTCATTCCTCTGCCACTCTTCGGCTGCCTCAGAGAACCTCGACTCTGGTAACAAAATTGCCGTTCCTCATTCCCTTCGCCGCCGTTAGACCCAGAAAATTGGACCTTTTGTAACTGTAAAAGAATGGTGCGAATAGCTGAGGCTAGAAAAATGAGATCTTTAGGCTCATCATACGCTTGTCTGGAGTCTTTGAGTTATCAATCTCTACAAAGATGCTTAGTCAGCGGAACTACAAAAGGGAAATCTAAAATCAAAGGATCACAGCCATTGAAGAGATCGAAGGTAACAACCAATAAAGGAACTGGGTCGGGTGATTCGAATCAGAAAGAAGGTGGGCCCAGAAGAAAATCCGAATTTGATGAATTGGTCGACGAGTGCTTGGCTTCGACTTCCCCAATCAGATTCTTGAAGCATAAGGAAAAAGCTAGGGAAGCTGAGAGAGAAAAGATGGGGCTGAAAAGTAAGGTAATGATTACGCTTGGTTGAGGAGTATAGCAGGGTTCTGATTACGCTGGGCTTGCCAAGGAGTATAGCAGGGTTCTGATGAGGAAGCATAGAACTAGACAGGCTGCTGAGTCTGCATTCTTGAGGTGTAAGAAAGAAGCTATTGAGGCATTACCTGAGGGTCTGAAGGCTGCTACTTTGGTCCCCGATTTGACACCCTTTCCGGCGAATTGATTTATGGCCAATTTTCACCTCCTATTGAAGGGTATATCGAGAAGGTTAAGGCGGCAGCCAAAAGGAGTTCTGGCAAGGAAAAACTTAGATGATCGCCTGAAATTTTTTTTTATTACTTTCTTTTTGGGTTTCTTTTTACTGCATTTACTGTCTTCTTGCTGAATTTTCTGGTTCTATTTATTTTATGGTGCATTTTCAAATTTCACTTTCTTTACAAATATGTGCATTCTCTTCTGGCTACGAGAATTCTTGCTGTAATTGAGTTTATTGTGAAGAAGAGTGACTTTTTAGTCATCTTTGCACTAGTTCATTGTCCGAATGGTTATCAAATTACCTAGAATGCTGTTACGCTAGGATTTGTTGGTAGGACCTGAATTCATTTTACTAGTTCATGGATCCTGATTTGTATCTTGTTCTGTTATTGAAGTAGCTTGAAAATTTCTTGCACTGCATAGTTGTTGGCCCATAATGCAGTTGGTCTTTCTCCAACTTTTGAGACACCAATATCAATAGCTGCCCATAGGCCATCCGACAACTTAACACTTGGCTAGTACCTCATGTGCCTGCCAGTACTAGTTTCTTTGCAATCACTAGAATAGGACTTTTTACCCTTTTGCGTGAGCTTGACTCCAGCCTTGTCACCCCATTTTTCTTCTTTGGGAGCTCCAGGATTTCCTAAAATGGTTAGCAATTAGGTGTTCTCTTTAAATATCTTCTGGCTTTGCTGCAAAACTTGACCAAAATTGAAGTAGGTAAATTGGCTTAGAACTTCCTACCACTAACATTTGCATCATTGGTATTGAACTTGATATAGAATGCTCTGCCCAAAGAATTCTAATGCAAAGTGCATCTTACATACATAGCATAATCAAGTGGTGACTAAGTCAAGCTTATTCCATCAATGCAGTTTCAAGTTTGTAGCGGCCATCATCTTCGATTCCATCTAGCGAGCACTGATCGTTGATTCCCTTTCCACTTGGAGCAAATTGGAGTTGTTGGTAACCAAAAATATACATTACGTTTCTGCTACTCTTAGGTTGCCAATACGTTATAGTTCGAGGCAATTATTTCAGTTGGATAGAACTTTTATTACTGATTAGTTGGGTTGCTAATATTTTGTCCAAGTTCTCTATCTCAAATTGATATTGGCTATATTATTGGACTAATTTTGAATTCTGTAGACTGTTATTCTTTTGTGCCTACCATCTGTTCGATAGTTTGTGTCTTACAATCTGAAATTGAACTTTTGCTGTCTTTTCTTTTGATATCATTCTGTTTTGATACTTTTGGATTAGTTCTTATTACTCAAAAGTCTAGAACACCTGGATATGTGAACATTCTGTTTTGAACTGCCTAGAACACTTGGATTAGTTCTTAAAACATAGTTTTGATACTTTTGGTAGCTTTACTTTAGAAGATATTCCATGAGTGATTTGTGTCTTCTATTAATCCTGTTGAAATTAGTTTTCTTATCTAAGTAAATGTTTCATGCAAAAATCAGTAATAATTTAGGTAGAACTATCTTGTAGATGCTAATGAAGCTTTCTTTTTTTTTTTTTTTATAAACGTAATTTAGGTAGGACTGCACTTTGGTTTTGGTACTTGTTGTGGCTGTCATTTTGGGTTGGTTCTTGTGGTACTGTGTATTGAATATCTGTTCAAGACTTGCTCTCTTATATGTGGTTATATATTTTATAAAATTTGTTTTCAAGGTTGGGGATAAAGTTACAATAAGAAGCATGGTTGATTCGTCCAAAATTTGTGGTGTTGGAGTGGTTAGAAATTTGGATCCAACTGCTGAAGTTGGTGACATACCTTTGGGATCACATTGGTGTGAAGTTCATGTGAATGTGCCTGTGGAGAATGATGAAGAGCTAATGAGGCCATACCATAATTTTCTCAAGATTGGAGATGCAATTGGAGTAGCTATTGCTTGGCCAATAAACCTGGTAATTTTTTTATCTTATCTTTATCATTTGGTTAACTTAGTTTTTATTTATTTTCTAACATTAAAACTGTAAAAGAAGAGCTGTAGATGTGATTGTAACTTCTATTTCTTGGTTTATGACACTTGTAGGTGATTCTTGAAGAAAACTAAAGGATCGTCCTTGGGTCAAATGGCTATTTTTTGAAGACATTGTCAATGCGTTTTTTGTTGAGTTCTTGTTGAACTATTGCTTCTTTGATATATATTGGCAATGCTACTGTAATACTCATAACTTTTGAAAAATCTCTGAATTGGCATGTAATTTGTTGACATAGCAGCAATGTCAGTTGCTTGGATGCAGTACTTTTGCACTATTTTGGCTACTTGTATTGCAGTAATTACTATGAAAATGTAAATAGCCTTGGTTTTCCTTTATAAGGTGGTAGTAATAACTTTATTATTCCAAAAATTAGAATCTATATTGTGTAGGCAGGATGAAATGTGATTCTGCTTTTGGGTATAAAATCTCGAATAGGATACAGGGCTAATACAATATGATGTATTGACACTTAAAAGTGTCACCACTTCGAGCTTTGCGGTTCATAATATTCACAAAATTTCATGTTAACAAGTGTCAGAACAATCTGATCTAGTTACACCATGAAAGTGTCATAATATTTCATTCTACTTATACGGCAAATGTGTCATAATATCTTATTGTACTTACATAATATAAGCGTCATGATAGATCCAATATATGACATGCATCGAGTATCACTTTAGATTCATATAACCTTAGCTGTTCTCTAGCATTTCTTGTCATTTAAAAGTGTCATTAAAACGATAAATAATAACATTTATAAATGCCAATAGAACTACAAATTAGGACTCGTACAACTGTCATGAACTTATAGTGACGCTGGAATGGACGACGTTTCTATCAGAGCGTCATTATAGATCAAACGTCATTACATCGAGCTATAATGACGCTTTTAAATGTCATAAAACGACATTTTTGTAGTAGTGAGTTGACCGAGGAACGTATCAGTTGGCTTCAGAGCTGGTTGAGGTATCAAGTCGTTATATCCTCTTACTTGTTCTTGTCTAGTTCGTTTTAGGGTTCCTATTTTTCCGCTGTCTTGTTTGTTTGTTGCATCGCTAGTTGTTTCTTCGTTGTTCACAAATCTGTCCGAAGTTGTTTTGCCATTGGCGTCGTCAATTTCTGTCCGTTTTGTGTTCAATCATTGTGTTTTGCAATCGGGCCGTAGTTGGATTTTACTTATGTGTCAAATCTGTCCGAGTTTATTCCCTTGTTGCGCCGAATTTCTGTCCGTGTTTGTACCCTGTCGCGAGTCGTCAATATTCTGTCCGTTCTTGTGTTGGTTCGTTGTCTTGCATCTCCCCATAATTGTGTCCACAAATCTGTCCAAGTGCGTCTTCTAGTTCCGTCCATAGTGCCTTGAAATTCTGTCTTGTGTTCCATCGTTGGCTTGTCTATTGCTGTCCATAATTTCTGGTATCATTGTTTTGAGTTATCCAACTTGTTTACTTGGTTTTTCAAATCTGAATTGTGGTGAAACTTGTTGGTATTTGTGAATCTTGAGAGAACCTACAAGAATCTTGAGTTTCTTGACCACAATCTTGAAATTTTTGAAGTTCTTGATAACTTCCTTGAAAGTTCTTGAAGGATCTCGAAGTTCTTGAAGATTCCTTGTGCGTGTGAATTGGCTGAACCAAATCCGAAAAATAATCCAATCGGCCAAGCTTGTGTTGTGTTGGTCGTATAAGTCAAAAAAAAAAAAAAGAAACGAAAAACAAGAAAGAAAGTCCGAAGTTTATTGCCAAATCAATCACGGATTACATCTTGTATCCAAGACTACAAAAAGGAAAAAAAATTTTCAAAGTTTCGGTCCACTACTTCTTAAACCTCTTGATTCTTGGAAATTTGTTTCGTCCGTCTAGCGAACAATTTCTTGTACTCTCGAGCATTGGTGAAAGGCTTTCTTGGAGTCTTTGCTTCTATCTAGGGAATATCTTGGGTAACCCATTGGGGGGGAGCCTGAGGAGGGTTGATTGCGTCACGTTGTTGAGATTCCATCTAGATGCTATTGTCTTGAACAAACATCCGAAACTGCCTTGGGTGTGTTTGAACAGAAAATCCGAGCTTGACCTTGTGCTTGCAAGTTAAGGCTAACGTGGGTGGGTCTTTAATAGCCTACCTTCCAACCGTACAAAAGGTTTCCAACCGAATTGTTCTTTCGGGAGTTGGAAGTGACAAAGTGTGCAGTCTCATCATTGATGGTAGTAGTTGCACCAATGTAGCAAGTTTGCCCATGGTAGAGAGCTTGGGACTTCCAACGACTAGACATCCACACCCGTACCGACTACAATGGCTAAGCGAAGATGGTTAAGTACGTGTCTACAAACAGGTACGTCTTCCTTTCTCCATTGGCAACCACATTGACGAAGTTGTTTGTGATGTTGTCCCCATGCATGCTACCCATGTAATTTTAGGAAGACCCTGGCAATTTGATAAGCATGTCACTTTTGATGGTAGATCTAATAAGTACACTCTCTTGCACAATGGAACGAGAATGTGACTTAGACCGACAAAAGAGGAAACAAAAGACGGCCGAATCTGGAAATTGCTCCACTTCCACAAATGAGCATTCGGCCAAGGGTCATACACTGATTAAATCAAGCACTAGGAAGCAAAACGTGATAATCAAGGCTAAGGAAGTTAGGAAATGTGTGAATTCTGATAAGCCTGTATTACTCATGATCTGCAAACATGTACTCTTGAATGTTGATGAACTCGATAGGGCATTGCCTTCGGGAGTAGTTGCTTTGTCGCAGGTTAAGCAAGGAGAGAATGAGTTGATCATGGCATGCTCCATCCCTAACTCCATTGGTGAATATCAGAATCTTCATGAAGTTTGCCTCTTAAGTGTTGTATCCCTTTACGATCCATTGGTATTTAACTTCACCCATGAGTCTGTTTTGCTTGTTGGGAGGAGTAATGGAGTTTCAATGGGGGTTCTTGCGTTTGAATCTTGTCCTATGCCTTCTTACCCTTTTGCAACAAGTGTTCCAAGTGATGATCAGTCTAATGCAGTTGAACGTGTTCAAAGTGTTCTTCATTATATCAGTTGCATTTTGGAGGATCCAAAAAGATGTAACCGAAGCTATATGCGTTATCTTCGAGGAGTCATTGGAGTAAAGCCATGAGTTTTTCTTGGCTGGCTGTGAGCATTTTCAAACTGATCAAGAGACCATTATAATAATCATGACGTATGCAAGTATCATTCAATCTAAGAGGGCCAATATGTGGTGGCATTAGATTTGAGGTTTCGTACTCCAACTCTTGCTAGTATCATTCATTTCCATCCAGATTTGAGGACAAATCCTTCTCAAGTGGAGGGGACTGATGTGTGCACGGATGGCGGCCTTGACTCAAGGCTTCCATAGGAACATTGAAGGCTTGGAAGTTGCTAATCAAGGCATCTACACATTGATCCAAGTCAAGGAAGCATCAAGCGCGGCCTCAGCTACTTGGGCCGAGCACTAGGAATGTTAGCATTGTTAGTCGTATGAGTTGTTAGTTGGTTTTGATCATTATCGAGTCATTAGTTGTTAGTTGGTTTGTTAGTCGTGTTTTAATTAATAGTTTATTAGTTATTGGAGTCAAACAATCGGCCCACTCATGTTCAAGAGTGGATCGAGCTCCTTTTCTAGTTTAGGTTGGTGGGCCGCCAATCCTTGACCACAAAGGTTTCTAGCCTATAAAAAGGCGCCTTTTGCACCAGCAAAGGTTAGACACTTTTGATAATAAAATTTCAATTTGTTCTCTTACAATTTCGAGAGTACATTCCTACTTGCTTGGCAAGGGTTATTTGAGCAATCACGCGTGACGTCCTTGGTTGTTCATCCGGCCTATCTACTTGAGTAACCACCTCAATTGGAGTCGCCGTTCTACCGCCTTGAATCGAGTTGAGTCGTCCCTCTTGGTTCTAGGTTCCGTAATCCAAACGGTTGAGTATCCCTCTAGGTCCTTGGGCAATCGTGCTACGTGTCTCGGAACGAGTCACTACTACAAAAATGATCTTTAGTCACACACTTAATATGACATTTTCTTAAAAGTGTCACAATAGAAAGTTAATGTAACATGCAGTAGGGAACGTCATTACAGTGATAAAGAAAATGACAAGTACGACGTCGTATCACTCTAATTCGTCCAAATAGAAGTAAAAAGTGAAAAACAAACGCGGGAAAGAGAATGGCGCTACACTTCAGCGCCATTTTTTTAGGGGAAAAATTCTAACTACTCCAATGAACCCACTGAACTTTACTCTTTGTTCATCCGAGTTCTCTCTCCTAAAATCTTCAATCACATTAACTCTCTCTGAAAAAAGCCAAAATCCTTCACCCCTCTCACAACCGAATCCCTTGTTTCTTTCTCTTTCTTCTACCCGATTTTTAATCCTCCCCAATTTGAAGACAAAAATGTAATATTTGAGATCTGTCAGGCCCGAAGTGCAACGGTGGAGGACGATGTTCATTGGAAATCGCCAACAACTCTCAAGACTTGTTCTTCTACTTACAACAACATCTGAAGGAAGATTACTACCAGGTAATCTATACATTTTAGACAAAATTGATAACTTTTTTTTATTACTCTATTTCTTCTCCGGGGACGGCGTAGGACATGGGGCAGGAGCAAGATGGGTGACGGAGGGTTGCCCAGGCGGTGCCTTGCTAAAAATCATCACCCAACTCGACATTCATTTTGGGTGCTACTCTTTTTGCCCCCTGTAACTAAAATTTTAATTGGATTCATTCCTCTGCCACTCTTCGGCTGCCTCAGAGAACCTCGACTCTGGTAACAAAATT